ACTAGTGCGGGCGCTATCGTTCTATGTACTCATCATAAATCAGAACTTCATTAGATTTCGTGGTCCGATTGACCAAATAACATCTTTCAATTAATGTCACTTTTGCAATTCATGTCGAGAGACGTGGTTGTAGAAGTCCTTCAACCTGATGATGAGGTAAATGGCTCGAAATCCGGATCTTTGCAAACCAACTTACTGTGAGTAGGAACTATCTTTTTAAAAAGGATTAAACCACATTCACTCCATCATTTATCATTTCTTTCAATTAATTTAAAAGCAAATAAGAGAGAAAATTCGAAAGGTTGGGTTGAGATGGGAAGTTAGTGTCCGAGTGGATCGAAGTCACGATAGCTCGAGTGGTAGAGCAGCGGCGTATTTAGCCGAAAGTCATGGGTTCGAATCCCGCTCGTGACACTGACTTTTTTATCTCAACCAATACCTTACATAAAGATAAATCAGAACATTTAGCCTTAATTACATTCTGCCTGGAGGGAAGGTAAAGTTCAAAAATGCAACCAATTAGAGATAGATAGTATTCATAAACATTTATTTCTACGCTGTAAATTAAGGTTAATTGTGTAATTTTCTTCTTGAAGCCATTGTCATACACAATTGGCCCTACAGCCAGGCAGTTCGAGGCCCTGCCCTGAAGGGAGAAAATAGCCCAGAAAGGAAGTTGCGGAAGAGAAGTTTATTCGGCATGAAGAAAGAAAGTACAATGTCTCTTGGGATTGTTTAAAAAAATAAACTGTTTCATTTCCTCGATCCCCCTTTCCTACCAAAAAGCTCAGCCGGAAAAAGATCTCCGGGCCATTTGGTTACTACCTCCAGCCAGCTCCAGCACCTTTTCGATTCACGTAATCTGATTTCAGTCAGAGGTCTGCGGAACCACAACTCTCGGCTTCACCCCCAAATCATATTATGTTTGGTCAATTTTCACAACAAAATTATTACATCGAATCACCCTGGCTCCCTTTCATCACCTTTTTATAGCCCTTGCGGTTGGCGTTCCTATCATTCTTCTTGGAAACAGTGAACCGTCTTTGCAATGGTACAAGTCGAAATATTAGGGGTGTTGGTCAGCGAGTCATGCTAGACTGGACCATCTTCAATTGAGTTGAAAAACTCAAACCCGTTTTGGCATTGCACCATCTTCAGTGAGGAACTTGCAATTCCGAAATTGGGTAGTTCAACAAACCCCCGAGCCCAATAAGTGACCCAGTGCCGGTTCAGTATTAGTCAAAGTAATATTAAACAATGTCATCTAAGCGACTATTTTCATTGACAAATTTAAATGAGATGATGTGATTACTTTTAAATATAACAAGGGGACGACCAGGTTGGTGGGTCACGAATTTGGGCCAAACGTTTTTTTATTCTACCCTCCAAAATATCGGACACATATTATGGCCACTTCTTGTGAATACGATAATACGGTTTCACTAAAAAAAAATCTGAAAGTTGAAATTTTTCGTTTTTTAATATTTTTATTTCGCCTTTCTACTTGCTCAAATCAACTAGGTGAATGCTATAAAAATGGAGTAAAAGCTGTCAAAGTTTATCAATAACCAAAAAAATTCTAAAAACCAAATATTTTTCAAAGAACTAGGACATTTTGCCATGTTTGGGTTGGCAAAAAAATAAAGAATTAAATAAAATGGGGGGAATAGGAAGAAGGAAAATAAAGGAAGGCTTACTTGGCTTTTGTATACAGTATGTTGAAGTAACTGACGAGATTCACAGGGCGCCTCGTGAAGTTGGCACCAGTTGCATCGAAGATAGTGACCTCCAGGGTGGATGGAAAAGGGGATATTGTGGAAACGTAGAAACAGTTAGAAATTAATGAAAATACGGGAAAAACTTCAGGTTCCATGGTTTTGGATGTGATTAGGGGGCTAACTTAGGTGTAGGAAAGGGAGGGTTTTCAAAAACTGTGAGGTTTTGGGGATTTTAAGGATCGACGTTGATCGTTTGTCATCGAGACGAGAACTGAGGGGATGGGATTTAGGATTGGAGGAAGTAAAGGATAAGAGGGCAAAGTCCACTTGACCTCTGCCCTGACCCCGAACTTTCTTTTTTCGTGAAACTAATATGAAAATTCAATTTACCATCTCAGGAGATCCCTAAAAGTAAATTTTTGTTTAAATTTAAATTTATCGATTTTTTGAACCCTAAAATGTTTATTTCTGATTTTTGGGAATCGCTATCGGAATATCTGACTCAAACCATTATAATTCAAAAAAGACTAAAAGGATTTTAATGTCTAGACCATTTGAAAGAAAAAGAACGCAGCTTTTAAACGACGTATCATCAAAATATATATAACATTTCTATAAGAAAATACACAAAATAGCAAAATTATTTGTCAGATTGTTTTTCAATTTATTTTAATTTTTTGTATATTTAAGTATTTTATTAATTTTTAAAGGCTAAGGTCATTTCACAACCTAACATTTGAACCTTGTATCTTAGGTTTAGCTATGTATATCCCTTCTGATTGCTATAAAGCCAAATGTATGCAAAAAACCTATTTTAAATTATAAAATTTATTCCTGTTCTTTAATTAGAATTTCGAATTTTTGTTCCATAATTTAAACATTTCCCATAGGCCAATAATAATACTAATAATAATAATAATAACGGAGTCAGACTAGCAACAGTCTCATGACTATAGCCGTTATCCTTTCTATCTTCCTTTCAAATACCTAAAAATATTTAAATGTATATAAATATATAAAAAAAATAAATATATAAATGCACTAATGCTACTTACAAATAATAATAAATGTGTGGTATTTAGTGACTGTTAATTAATGATTATTTGGAGATCGTGAGATGCAGTGTGATGTGATGTAGGTTTAGAACAAATGTATTGGTATAATTTAAACAATATTTATAAATCCCAGACCCCGAAGATGATCTCAATAAAGATCAAATTGTTGGCACAATAATGAAGCATACGTTACACCAGACCGCATCTCACTATCTCCAAATAATCAATAATAATCAAAGAAAAACAATAGGGAGCTATCTTTCCTTATTTAAATTGCGATTTTGGGCATTGTAGTTTATTACTTACTTACATTACTTATTACTCTTTTATTTCATTTGATTTCATTTTTCAGCTCTGACAGCCTCAAAAATCCCTCAAAACTTTGGTTTTTGCCAGCGGAAATTCTTGCTTGTTTCAAATTTTATAGTCAGGTGATCTCTTTATTATTATTTTTAATTTATTTATTAATTATTATTTTTTTATGGAAATAAAAGTTCGATTTTAATGTTAGATACAGTTGTACAATGGCTGTACAATTTCTTTAAAAGGAATTATCAAACATGAAAATTAGCCCACTAGGTTTTGTGAAAAGTTATGTTAAAGTTGGCACTAGGAATGACAGTCAGGCAGAATGTCATCAAAATTATCAGTCGAAAAACTAATTTCCAAATGTTGTTAATCCAAAAGTCGGTAACTAAGGGTTTTATAATGCTAGAATCGTGGCAATGAAGTCAAATCCAAATTTTGACCAATCCACAATTGACCCGTTTGGGTCGCAGTGGAGGAATAATTCTTATTCAATCAACCCCCACAAAAATTAACCATTTTTGACCTGCTTTGCTGATTAATAACGAATTTCCTATTTTAGTTTATTTATTAAATTAATCACATTCGCAAAAAATTATTTATTCTTTTTACAGTTGTAAACTAACCCAGAGCTGAAGATGTTTAACTTTAAAGAACGAAAGCTCGGCATGAAGTTGGGAGTTTCTAGGTTTCTGTGACCTAATACCTGATTATCAAACAAAACGAATACATCTTTTGTAAATGATGGTTCTCACAGATTTGTGGTTTACAGTGAACCGATTTCAAGCATTAAACTCTTATCAGCTTGAAGGAGTTACAAGAACATCTCTCCCTTCACTCTTCATCATTTCTGTAGAATTAATACACCAAAAATAATATTTTGATTTATGCTCATTTAATTGCGCCTAAAATTAGATTTTGAAAAAGCTTCATTTACCTGATTAAGTCGATTTATTAATAATTCCCTTAAGTCTACTTTATGCACTGTTATTGGAAAAATGGGGCTATTTACATAATTGTTTATTCTCACTTGTCAACAAAGACCCACCGTCACCTTGTAAGTCTTTAATAATCATTAATAATAATTTTAATTAATTAGATTTTTTATCTAAGGTTTTAATTGAGATGAAAAAGCTATCCTGCTTCTTACACTAGCTTTTTCATCTCAATTAAAACCTTACTGAATTTATTTAGTAGTCCTAATTGATTGTATTATTTTAATTAATTATAATTTTTATCTAAGGTCTTGGTTGAGATGAAAAGTTAACACTAGCTTTTTCATCTCAACCAAGGCCTTAGATAAAAAGTAGAATTAATTAAAATAATTAAGACAGTCAATTATGACTACTAAGTACATCTATGGATTAATATATTAACAATATTCTTTAATAATAATAAGAAGAATAAAGTTTAATTTGGTTTCCAAACATGCATAGAAAAAAGCAATACTAGGAGGAAATAGATCATAATAACAAGAGATTCACTAATAAAAAATACTTTTCAATTAATTAATTTTTTAATTAAGGTTTTGGTTGAGATAAAAAAGTCAGTGTCACAAGCGGGATTCGATTTCCCAACTCAACCGCACCTTTTGAATTTTCTCTCCTTTTTGCCATTTTTCAAAATTCAAAAGGTGGTGTTGAGATGGGAAGTTAGTGTCCGAGTGGATCGAAGTCACGATAGCTCGAGTGGTAGAGCAGCGGCGTATTTAGCCGAAGGTCATGGGTTCGAATCCCGCTTGTGACACAGACTTTTTTATCCCAACCAAAATCTTAACTAAAAAATTAATTAATTGAAAAGAATTTATTTGTTCAAGCGGACCATGAAACCTTATAAATAAAAAATACTTTTAAGAAACACTTTAATTTCTTAAAGCTTAATGATAACCCAAAATAATATACAAAGTTTACAATAAACTTTTATATTTATGAAAGGGTAACAGGTTTAACTGTTTTTAAATACATGTTTTGAATTATATTTACAATAGATACAGTCAATTACATTTAAGTATAAATAGATTATGCGGTCTATTAATAATGTGGAAAAACTGGATGATGGGGGGAAAAGAAAATCAGTCTTGCTTTTCCCTGTTATAATTATCTTTTTTTCGTCTTTTGTTCTTTTTCAAAGGACTTCATCAGAAGGTTCAGTTCCAAAGTAACGATCACCGAAATTACCGATGCCAGGCAGGACGTAGAACTTCTCGTTGATCTCAGGATCGACTGAGGAAGTGACGATTTTCACATTAGGGAAAGCGTATGCTATCGTATGGACTCCTTTAAAAAAGATAAATTTGACATTTTTTCTTTTAAAAAAATATATATATCCTTAAATTGTCTTTAGACTCTTACCTTGAACCGATTTTTTCAAGACCCTATACAAGAAAAATTACACAGAAAAAAAAGAAGNTTTGTTTAATTTTAATTAACCTGATTCGGCCATGAGAAGAGAAACTATTAGGATGTTTTCCTCGGGGACGTCGTGATCAAGCAAGACCCTTATGGCCATCATAGCCGCAGCGCCTGTTGCGACAGTCGCATCCATTAAGATGACCAAATAATCCTTTATATCTTTAGGCAATCTTAAGTAATAAAGCTGAAAAAGTTTGATAATTGAAAAGCTTTCTTTTTAAAATTTGGATAAAAGATGGTTCACCTCAGGTTCACCGGTGCTAAGATTGGTCTGTATTAGAATTTTACCTATTCTAATATCTTTACAAACATCACATACGGCTTGTTCCATTGTCTCCCCGGCTCTGAGGATTGATACGCCGCAGATTTTGTCTGTAGCTAATCTTTTACCTTGGTACTTGACACCTTGTGGAGTTTCGACTTCTATTTCCTGAATCAAATAACAAATGAATATAAATATTTATTGGTTTTTAATAATAAAACGTGTTATATACTTTGAAAGGAAGAAGCGAGAGGGCGTATTCAATGACAAGCCTGATAAGCCGTTTAGAATAAAATATAAATTCGTCTCGCGGCGTATCCTTGTTTCTGATAAAAGTATGCAGTCCGCTGACCTGCGGGCTCGAAGGCAAGAGGAAAATCGAGCTCGGAAGGGGCTGGCCGACGAAAGAACTCGCAAGTTTCTCCCTCAACTTGAACCCTCTCTTTATATTAAAAAATAAAAAAATTAAAATTAAATTTAAAAAACAGCAAATTATAAAATAATAGAAGAACCTTACGAGTGTTAGTTGAGTATGGACGTGATGAACGATGAGTTCAATGGCAACCTTGTTGTCACCACCTCGTGGTACAATAATGTCAGCATGTACCATAGACGGCGCAATATAATGGCTGAAAGCTGGTTTCACCATGGTGCAGTATTGTTTCAAAACGCCATCGAGATCGCGTCCTCTTTTGCAAATATCCCGCCTTAGCCTTCTTGCAAGTCTCACGTCAGCGTCCGTGTCCACGAATATTTTCATGTCTAACATCTTAAAACATACAATTAAAAATTATACAATGTATTATCACATTTACAAACTTACATTTAAGACTTCTGTGTTATAAAATGCCAATATCCCTTCAAATATGACGACATTAGCCCCATACATCGTTTTCTATATTTTAAAAATAAATTATACACAATTAATGAACTTTTCTTTTTAATAAGATTATTTTTGTTATAAAATTTTACGGTTTTATTCTCTCGACAGTGAGTCATGAAGTTGTAAATCGGCACTTCCACTTTTTTACCCTCCTTGAGCCTTTTGAGTGTCGGGATGAGCAGGTCAAAATCGAAAGCGTCCGGATGGTCGAAATTGTACTCATTGAACGATGCCAGCAAGTGTTGTTTTTCATTGAGCACCTGGGAAAGATTTTCGAGTTAAATTGTGTACAAAGTCAAAAACCTTTCTGTCTGATTGTTAAATTTTTATATTTCTAAAAATCTAAACATGCAAAACCTTGACAGATTTGTTTTACCATTTGACACAACTTTTAGTAGCAACATTAACTCGATTTAATTTTAATACTTAATGTTTATTATAATAGTATAATTATTTCCATTTTGATTTTTTGATGCAATTAGAGTGAGGTGTAATAAGTTAAAATATTAATAACCCTTTAATTTAAATTAATAATATACCAATTCAGGACATACCTTATAAAAAGAGTCCATGCTCAAGAGAGTGACCCAAGGTACGTCCAAAGATTCGATAATTTTTGTTGCAACAGTCGTTTTCCCTGAAGCGCTCCCACCACAAATACCTATTGTGTGTTAGTTGGCTAATTATTGTTAGTTTTCTTATAGTTTTTTTTTTTAAACATCCCACATTGACATGCCAGTCGGCTTACCTATGACAAACGGTTTGACCTGCTGCCCCGCAGAATTGTACCACGGAGGCCGGCCAGCGGTGTAAATGGTCCTCCTGTACCTCCTAATCACAGACTCAGATGCGGTGTGAGTCGACTTCGCCATCGAGCTAGACGTTGTCCTCTGCCTCCGTGCCCTTGGCGACTTCTGCGAACCTGTTTCCGTCAAAACGGAGGCAAACGGAAAAACACTAACAAATTGTATTGTTTGAGTCGCTTTTCAAAAGAAATACCAGCTGAAGGCGGTCTTGGAGATTGGGGAGGTGTGATCTTCGCTGAGATGAACTCATCTGACGGTAGCTCCTTGCTGAGTACGTTATCAAACTCCCTCTCACAGACATCACTGGAGGAAAATGAAAAACAAACTTTGTGTAAGAACAAATTTAATTTAACCCAAAGAAAGCATATAAGATTAAAAAAGAGGAATTGATAAGACCGCTATAATAAAACTGCGTTTTAATCCCTTTTTTGTAAATATTAACCATTTTTTTGTGTCTCGCGATGTTCGCCTTAATTTTACACACTTCGGTATAGGAAGTAAAAATGACATTTTTTTTTTTTTTAATTCCCTTTATTTTGTTACTAATCAAATTCGCTAAACTTTCACCAATCAAATTATAAACCAGATGTATGTAAAAATATACATTTGAAACACATGTTTTAAGCTAGCTCAACTTAAAAAAACTCTTGTAAATCTAGAACAAGCTATATGTGACTCATTCCAAAACAAAAATAAATTAGTAGAGGTATTTGTAGATATACAAAACGTGTTTGACTGAACATAGAGACGTCTGATTATAGACACGCTACAGAATTTAGGGATATGAGGAAGTATGCTATTATTTATTATGAACTTTCTAGGCAGAAGTTTTCATGTGAGATGTGGCTCCGCTTACTCAGGGAGCTTTGCTCAGGAAAATGGAGTACCACAGGGCAGTGTGCTTAGTGCTACACTTTTCTGCTTAACCTTTAATGAGGTACTACTTAAGCATATACGATCACCGTGTAGAGCAATGCTGTATGCAGATGATCTTGTATTGTACTGTCAGGGAAAAAATATAACAACGCTACAAGAAGACATGCAAACTAGTCTAAATGATGTTGATCAGTGGCTATGCAAAAATGATTTTACTGTCTTCATTGAAAAGTCAGCAGGAATTCTATTCTCTAAAAGACGATCTAGTAGTTGTCCAGTTTTGTATATTTCAAATAACCCAATCAAACTCATAGATCGAGTCCCCTATCTTGGAGTTATCTTTGATAAGAATTTAAATTGGACTGCTCACTTCAAAACTTTGAAATCCAAGTGTTCCCAAGCACTGAATGTCATGAAGACCGTAAGCTCATGTTCATGGGTTGCTGATCGCAAGGGGCTTGCATGTTTATACAGATCTCTTGTGTGATCGCATCTAGACAATGGGGCAAATGCTTATGGCTCAGCCTCATCGAGTAAAATTTGTATGCTTGACCCTATACAAAACACCTGACTTAGAATAATTACAGGAGCCTTCTGGTCCAGTCCCATTAACAGTCTCCATGTTGGAGACATTATGCTGGAGAGCATCCTTTAAAATAACTTATTAGATCTAAAATATTTTTCCAAAATTATTTCCTGTTCTGCACACCCACTTAACTATTTTTTTCCTGGAGGTAACCCTCCACATAATAGTCAACATACTATCAAGCCGACTCCTTTCTCTGCTAGAATATCACTAATGTTACTGGATGTACAGTTCATGATACCACCATTGCAAAAAGAAACTTGTTCAGTCACACCTCCCTGCTACTGCCAAAACCAAAAGTAATCTTGTCTCTGAATATGCATAATAAAAATGACACTCCTAGCTATATATATAAACAAGAATGTGTGGTGATTAGTGACATAACACCACACACAAGTCTATCAAAAAACACGGTCGTAACAATGGTAACTCGTAATAAAACAACCAGATGGCACATTAATCACAGATTGGTATCAAAAACCAAGAAACACAGATTGCTACCTCAACTTTACATCTCACCATCCTCTTCATACAATAATAAACACGGCCAAAGGGTTACTTCACAGAATGATTACCCTAAGCCATGAATCATTTCACCACAAGAACATAAAGATATACAAACAGATCCTCCATAACAATCTCTACCCTAAACACTGTTAAATTAAGTCTATCAAATACAAACAAACCAGCATACATTTCCATGCCATTTATTCACGGCCTATCACATAAATTAAACACATTTCTCTCATCCAATAACTTCAAAATATCTTTCAAAAATTATAAAACAATTCAAACACTTTTTTTCCAAAATTAAAGATCCCACACCAATAACAAATAAACCTGACCTAATCTACAAAATCAACTGTTTAAACTGTCCGGCAACTTACATTGGTCTTACATCCCAATATCTGGACAAGAGAGTAAAGCAACATATCTATGATTGCAAAAAACCTAAACAAAATCCTACAGCACTCTCTACTCACCATTTTGAACACAAACACAATTTCGACTTCAACAATCCAAAAATATTACACACAGAACAAAACAAACATAAACGTAATTTTTTAGAAATGGTTTACATCAACAGAGATAAACACAGCATCAATTACAGAACAGATACATGTAAACTCAGTCGCAGCTAAGCCAATATCATTAATCAAATTCAATATAGGTAACATACATATATCATCACATCACATTCTACATATCAAACATTTTTCACATAGTCTAATTTTTCAACAATTTAGCTTTCCTTTTCCTATTTATCTCCTTCTAAATAATCCTGAAAGGATAATCTGGCCGAACCATTACCAACGTTTTTTCCCTTCGTCGACTCTTTTCACCTCAAAGAAGCCAACGCCTTGTCTTTTCTATACAGACTTCCTTCCCCACCCCTTCAAAATCCAACATATATAAACATAAAACAGTAATATCTCACTGGCACTCTCAACACGACACGCAAGAATGGCACAATTACACAGAAGACAAACACTTTGAGTGAGAAATATATTTTGCATTGTATACATTGACTTTTTTCCACATCCTACATGTATTTGTTAAATGTAAACAATGTTTGTAAATCCCAGGCCCTGAAGATGATCTCAATAAAGATCGAAACGTTGGCACGATAAAGAAAATGTTTTCTGAAACCTACATCACACCAGACCGCATCTCACGATTTCTGAATAATAAACAAAAATTCTTAACCATCAAGAGTAAGCTACTCTCAGCAACATACGCTTATTCGAATGGCTCTAAAGGCCCCCATGGGGTGGGAGCCACTTGTGTTGTTGCAGACAGAAAATATTTATTCTCCTTAAAATCAATAGCGAGTAACTATACAGCTGAAATGACGGCAATAATTAAATCACTGAATGTTGATTGCTCGAACAATACACTGGTCGTATGCACTGATTCAATGTCAGCCTACAGACCTTGAACCACCCGTTCTCAAATAAACCCATGGTCCAGGATGCCCTTTATTCACTGAGGTGTCTTTCACAGCGAGGGAAGAGTGTCATTTTATGAATATTTTAAGCAACAAACTAGTGGACAGAGCTGCCAAAGAGGCTGTAGTAAATGGAACCAAAATCAGCGAGATCACAAGGAATGATTTAAATTCCGCTTTAGAAATTAAAATATGGACACAATGCCAAAAGGTTTGGTCAGATGTCACAGATAACAAGCTTCAGGAAATAAAATCTACTGTTCAAATGTGGCCTTCTTCATTTAGAGTTAGAAGAAAAGAAGAAGCGATCCTAACTAGGCTGAGAATTGGGCACCGTAGAGCCACCAAGGAATACTTGATGGCTTGTCAGCCACCACCGCTGTCATTTAGGCAATGAAACTGTGACTATAAAACATATGCTTATATCATGTCACCTATATGACAGTATCAGGAAAAAAAAACTCCAAATGGTCAGTAATGTAAGGGTGAGCTTGTAAGAGTAAATGCTTCGAAAGAGTAGTCTGGTCTCCAGATGTCTCGCATCATGTTCTCCACTATAATATCAAGTAAAAAAAAGAGGCTTTTTGCAAATTAGCATCTCGCTTAGACAATTGAACAATGATGAGTTGTTCTCTTCACATAGAGTATCGGTTTGGTTTGTGGCAATCACATGACCATGTGTGGAGAAGAGGTGAGAATGCTTTGCTAAATGGGCCATGCGTGTCACAGCCTTTTCAGAGTGAGAGCATGACGGGGAAACAACGTACATGCCTGTAATGGATCTTTGACTGCACTAAGGTACATTGAGGAAGTTTTGGAAGCTGTGGGTCCCTTGGCTCTACTTATTGGGGACAACTTTATATAAAGGCATGATAACTGAGGAATATGACTTTTCAAAGATAAAGTCTGTTCAAGGACAATCCCAAAGTTGACAGTGGGACAAAAAGAAATAGGATGATTGTTAATGGTAAATGGAGGTAGGGCATTTCTACATTAAGGTTAAGCCCATTTTCAGAGGCCTAGGAGATAATTGAATTGAGATAATTGAAGTCCACGTGAACTCTTACATTGCAGCTCATAAGTAATGCTCAACTAAATTGAAATTGTTTGTGGTAAGGAGGTTCATCGGATCTCAGCGACCCTGAATTTGGTCCCAACTCCCTTCAAAAATGAGTTTCTTCGATGGAAGAACACCAGTACAACGGTGGCTCAAGTTCACATTTGTGTTGCGAGCCCTCCCCCAAAATATGGAGCCAGGGATAAAGTACAATAAGCTGTACAGCTCAGCTGCAGTGCTCAGGAGGGAACTCTTCCTGTCCCTGGTATCAAAAAAAAAATAAAATAAAATAAAAATAAATAAATAAAAGAGGTTCAGATGATTTAAATATTAACCAGATCCGTTTGATCGTATCTGACATCTGGCCAGACTATTCTCACTGGTTTTGACTGTAGTAATATTCCAGCTGTTTATGCCAGAAATATCTATTATTTTTTTGTGGCCAGGTAGACCTTTGGACCGGACTATCTTCAGATATTAAGGAGATGAGCTGCTCAATCTGTCAATGTCTGTGAATCTCCCTGGCACTTATAACATTTAGCGTTTTTCTCTTGCATACGCTCCCTTAAAAGTCAACATTTCAACCCAATAAGAAGGAAAATCGAGTGGACAGCAAAGAAAAGGAGTAGAGAACGGCCAAATGGGATAAGGAAATGTAGGATTATACGGAGGAGCAACCTAGAGTTAGTACAGTTTTAAGCGAAGTGTAGTGCTTGTTATATATTGTACTATTGGGTCCATCTTCACTCAAGGGTTTGTTGAGATGACTCGTTCAGTCCCTTACTAAAGATGGAGAATGTTGAAAAGCGTTTTGAATACTTCAACAAAGCTATCAGTGAAAATAGACCCAATACCGGTACAGCATGAATACCATCCCGAATTTAACATTGGAGATAACAAAATGGCTAAATGCAGAACATTCTGATGGAACAGTGAAACTAGTCTGATGAATCTATATTTTTGTCTTCAAAACCTCAACTTTTTGTCCGAGTAGTAGCATACCTGCTGCTCTTGGAAAAATTTACTTTAAAAAATTATAATTTGGTTCAGGAATTTATGGTCAGAATCAGCCTTGTCAACAATGACAAAGATGTGTGGTGTTTAGTGACCATTAATTAATGATTATTTGGAGATCGTGAGATGCGTCTGGTGTGACGTAGGTTTTAGAAAAATATTTTCTTTGTTGTGCCAACGTTTCGATCTTTATTGAGATCATCTTCAGGGCCTGGGATTTATTAACATTGTTTAAATTTTACAATGCTTGTAGGGTGTGAAAAAAAATGACTTTATACAATGCTAGAAATTTTAGATCCAATCAAAGTATTTGTACACACTAGTGTTTGTTTTCTGTGTAGATGTGTCATTGCTGTGTGTCGTGTTGAGAGTGCCAGTGAGATAATGATGTTTATGTTTATATATGTTGGATTTTGAATGACAAAAATATTCTAATCCAAAAACAAAGCACCTTTACCAAAACAATGAATCCTGTTATCATTTGAAATAAGGCTGTTGTGTTATTCTGGATTGATGAATACACAATAAATATTAAACAAAAAGGAATGTTATCTTTTTTCATCATCTGGAATTTCAAACAAGAAACAAAGCTCAGAAAATGACCAGGCTTCAATTTGCAATGTGAATTGGAGAACAAGTTCTCGTTAGAGGCGAGTTGAGAATTGGCCCCAAATCTTCAGATGGGCGTAATTTCATATGGAGATGCTGAGGAGAAAGGTATGACCCATGCTGTATGGTTGCTCAGGTGGCATTCCACGGTGGGCCATTGATGTTCTGAGGTGGCATTTCCTCACTGCACAATACTTACACGACATATTTGAAGAACATGTAGTTCAATTTGCCCCCCCCCACCACCACCAACATCGGTGAGAGATTCTTGCTAATGCAGGATAATGACAGGCCCCATAGAGCAAATATTGTGTATGACTACCTGAATGAGGGTGGAATTGGGTGCTTGGTGTGACCAGCTAGAAGTCCATATTTGAGCCCATCGAAAAAATTTGGGGCCAACTTAAGCAAAGAGTACAAGGGCGAAATGCAAGTCCTAACAACCTAGAAGAGTGAAATGGCTGTTATTGATGAATGGGAAAGAATTCCTCATGTTAACAGATGTGATTCATACCAGAAGTGAAAATACTTGGTAATGGAACAAAAAAGTTGGTTTTTACATTTTTTTTTTTTTAGAATTAGGTAATAAACCTTTCCTTTTTAAATGTTTTATTTTTACAACCAAACCTATTTTTGGTATGCAAAATATGAAGAAACCTAAAAACTTTTTTTTTTAATCAGTGTAATTAGGAAAAATTAACTATTACCTAACTTCACAAGCACATTTTTATTTTTTTTAAATGTATTAATTTATAGGGATTACAAAAATCCCTGAAATTAAAATGAAGCTCCAAAACTTACACATACAAAAAAAAACCGAAGGGCTGAAAGTGTGATATTAATTTTCATTCCCTTGAGTTCCTTATTTATTTTTAGGTTTTACCAAATAAAAACTTTGTAAATCTAAAAATTGTAGATGATGAATTGAGTGGTTTTTGTTTTGTCACCTCATCAATTGTGTCATTTTCGTGCATTGATCGACAGGGCCACAACTGCTTTCTTCTTTGTAGTCAGAGAAGTCAACATTTTATCAGATTGGCATCCAAACTAATCTAAAGAAATGGATAAAATTGAAAACACTATGGAATAATAAAAAAATGTGTTCTTAACTCTTAATTCAAGTGGTATGAAAATATTTTCGCTTACACTCACAAGACGGCAGTTTGGCTTTCGGCCGTTAAATCACCACCTGTCGGAATATCCGCTGGCACAAAGAGGCCCTGTTTGTAAATTAATCATCATTCTTCATCATTTATCTCTATTTATTTATTTATATCTATTTATTTGGCTCAGTCTATGCTAAAAATACTACCTCTAAAATTTACCCACAAATAAATTATGATAGTACAGTAAATATTAGTTCCATACAAATCGTAGAAGTGGATGTACTTAATGCCCTTAAAAATCTAAAAAAGAACAATTCCAAGGGTCCAAATTGTATTCCTAATATATTGTTAAAAGAGTGCAGATTTGTCCTGGTGAAACCACTACTACTGTTATTTAATTTATCGTTAGAAACAGGAATATTTCCTACCATTTGGAAAACTAGTCACATTGTGCCAATGTTTAAAAAAGGCAATAGAGCTTTAATACAAAATTATAGACCTATAAATAAATTATCAGTTATTCCAAAGGTTTTTGAACAAATATTATGTTAAAAAAAATTACTCCTATGTTCAATTGTTTAATTGATGAAAACCAACATGGGTTTGTGAAATTTAAATCCACTTTAACAAATCTATTAACTTTCCAGCATACTCGAAGCTTTTGAAACTGGCTATCAGGTCATTTACACTGACTTCAGCAAAGCTTTTGATACAGTTAACCATGAACTTCTCTGCTTTAAGCTAGAAGCTACTTTATGGGGGACCGCGGTAGCCGAGTGGTTAGCATGAGAGACTCTCAGGCCGCGGTCGTGGGTTCGATTCCCACCGTCGCCTCTGGCCCTTTTTTCACAATAACCCCCCCCCCTCAATTTGAACACACATATAAGATTGTCACATGGCTAATATGCATAGTTCATAACGAAAAAAAAAAAAAAAAAAAGCTAGAAGCGATTGGTATTCATGGTGGCCTGCTGGAATGGTTGAGAGATTTTCTGATTAACAGAACTCAAATTGTAAAGATAGATAATATGGAATCAGGACCTATATCTGCTACCTCTGGTGTTCCACAAGGTGGCCACATATCGCCTTGATATTTAATATATTTATTAATGATAAGTGTTTTACAATTAGTCAATTTAAGTTGTTCGCGGACGATCTCAAAGTATTTAAAATAATAAAATCTATTGAAGACTGTGAAGTGTTACAACAAGACATAACTAATCTAGTCAGATGGTGTGATCTAAATTATATGACCAAATATTGATAAATACAATTCAATTAAATGCAATGTTGTTCATTATCATAAGAAACTTAGTCCATTACAATTCAAATATAATATCTGTGATGTAGAACTATTAGCTTTAAACAATATCAAAGACCTAGGTGTAATTTTTGATTTCTCTATTTCTTTTAGCCTGCATATTGAATCTATTGTAAATACATGTTTGAAACTACTTGGTTTCTTGAAAAGAAATAAACAGGATTTTAATAGTATATTTTTCATTAAAATATTGTTTTTTACTCTGATAAGGCCAATCTTTTAAGTTTGTTTTAGTTTTGAGTTTAACTCTGTAGTGTGGTCAACTTATTATCACACTTACATATATAGACTTGAATCTGTTCAAAATAAATTTCTTAAATACTGTTCTTACAAACTTGGTCTAAATTCTAGTTGGATATCATATGAAACTCTCAGAAATGTACTCAACATTAGTCCATTAGAAGATTGTAGATCATCAATTGATATTGTTTTTCTTGTAAAACTTTTAAGGAATATGCTTAGTTGTCCTGAATTGTTCGAGAAGATATCCTTTAATGTACCAGATTCACTCCTCTGTTCTTTATACCATTATGTAAAATGAACTACCTAAAAAATGCTCCCATTCCTAGAATATGTACTAAAGCTAATAAATTAAGTAGTGATCTGGACTTATTCTGTCCATCTCTGGACAAAATTAAAGCTGTGTAATTCCACATACTTTGAGTATGTGTACTGTTGGCTACTTGCCGTTGATGTAATAAATAAATAAATATTTATCATTTATCTCCATCGTTTCTTCACCATTATTCTTTAAAACAAAAGGGCACGGTATGGAGGTGGAAGTCTTACACCGTCTTGGTCCAGAAGTCTTGTTCGAAGGCCTAACTTGAGAATACTGAGCTTGAGAGAATTCCTAACCCTTTAACTGTGCCTTACAGGATAAAGCACAAAAAAATTAAAATATGCAGCCAATCTGCCATCCACATGAGCAGATCAAGGTTAAATGCTTAGGGTAAATTTGGTGATAGTTTTTTAAACTTAATATCTTTTTATGTTTTTTTTTTAATCTTGTTAGTGTCTTGGCTTTATTTATATGCTGTTAGTAAGCTATTGCTGGCTCTTAACAGCTGAGACTTTTCTATTGTGTAGTTTTAGTGCGGGGCCGAGAAAAAAAATTATAATAATCATATTATTAATTTAAAATTATCTTATCATAATGATGGAGGCAGGAGTCAAAGCTTTAAAACCTGCTTAAGCATAAAAAACCACGACCTGCTAAAATTGTGCCTCACCCCTTTGTACAAAATTTTGTACAAGTTGTCAACTCAGAATCAAAAACGTTTTATTTATAATTGTTATTTTCTGAAAAGGGTAGGGAAAACAATTTGGCACGTGGAGGAAGCAGCACAACAGATACTGAACATAAATAGAACTGAAGGCCATCCAATTCTGTACGGCTAGTTTCAAGATAAAATAAGTATTTACGTAAATTACAAGGTGTAAAGTAAATTAATAAACAAGACATCTATGATAAATATTAGTAGATTTTGTTTTTAAACTGGCAAAATCGATGAAACCACATGACGCAATCAAAAATCCATCGCTTAGTTACCAAGACAAACCCAAGTTCTCATGGATTTTTTTCCTTTATTAAATAAAACAATCCAACGTTTTGTTATAATTTACGAGAAAACCAAGTCTATTTACCTTTCAGAACTGGCAGAACTAGGAGGGTCGTAGTCCTGGAAGGCTGACATGGTCAGTGATGATAGACAACTATTGGAATTTGCTGAACAGAATCAATCCCGCCATCGGAGAGAATTCTGAGAAAAGTGCCTGGGGGGGAATTCGTGTTTGAATTTCCTGCCAGCCAGTTATCAGAGGATACACAAAAGTCCCTGGTATAAAGGGGCAGAGGGTTTGTTGACAGTTTCCAACCTTGATACACACAGATCACAAGCAAAATATCCCTGTGTTCAGCATTAAAAAAAACAGCTTGGGTATCTATTAATAGAAAAACACTCATCAGCACTAAAATAGCAAACAAACCGAATCTATAACAGTTTATGGTCATTTGAAAAAATATGTAATATGATTTAACACTCTGCTGACCTCCATAATTACAAAATTGGTCAAATTTCAGGTTTTCAACAACCTTTTCCATCTAAACTTTTCCTGGCGGTTCTTGCACAAATCAAGATCCTCGGTTATTATGCAAACAAGCCGGATCTATAACAATTTAGTGTTATTTAAAAAAAAAAGTAACATGATTATAAATGTAATAACCTCCACAATTACATAAATGGTCAAATTTCAGGTTTTCAGCAACCTTTTCCATCGAAACATTTCCTGACGGTTCAAGCAAGTTACGCCTGCACAAAAAGACTTTCAATTAGTCAACACACGTAACTTGCATAAATCAAGATCCTCGATTATTCTGCAAACAAGCTGAATCTATAACAATTTAGTGTCATTAAAAAATATATATTACATGATTTACAAATGTAATGATCTTCACAATTACAAAAATGATCAAATTTCAGGCTTTTAACAGCCTTTTCCTCTAAGATTTGCTAAAGTTTCATGATCCTCATTGTATATCTCAACTGCTGTTCCTCAATAATTGCATGTCTAACTATCTTTCTCAACAAATCAATTGACACCTGCGTATGTCCAGATGTGTGGAAATTGTCTTACAATGTTCCCATTTTTAAGTCGGGCAACAAATCTGTAGTATTTAATTTATTTAATTATTTATATGGATAAATATACCCAGTTACAAGTTCTATAAGAAGTTAAACTACATAAGTAATAATGAATAATTGAAAATTAAATAATTACGTTATCTAAACATATAACATTAATTAAAAACATGGACTTATTCAACATAAGAACACAAATGTAAGTATTGTGTCATAATACACATATGTTTAAAAAAATAAAAGATGTGAGAAGTAATGATAAAAATTTAATTAAACAAAAGAAATATATAAACAATTGAACACAATTGCAGTGATCAATATTGTTTAAAATATATTTAAATTGATTGATATCAGACGATAGAAATTTACTATTTTCACATCTTTCTAGGATGAATAAAAACTATAAGTTTAATGTATTATAGGGATAGAAATAAAAGAGGCGGCCACAAGGCCTTCTGCACCTTGACCTGAATAGATCTATTGTGCTCCCCTGTTTTTATAACTCATTGACCATCTTCATGTTATTAATCAACCTCCATAGCCTTGCCAGTGGCTCCTTAGTGTAGGATCTTGCTTGAGTTTTCCTTTCCTAGCTACAAGAACCTGCGCCTTCACAAAAACATAAAATGTGTTCTGTGGCCTGCTCCTCTTCCTGGCAGTATCTGCACAGTGTTTTTTCTGACTGCACTCCTATTGGTACTTTCTTAAGTGGCAGTGCCCTGTCCAACCAGAATCCTGGTTTGATTGTGGTTGCATTCCAGTAATTCCTTTGTAAGTTTTGTGGATGGCCCTTCTATGAATTTCTTTGCATGCATCATGCCTGTGGTATTGTCCCTCCAGCTTTTGGACTCATTAAGGATCCGTTTTAAGATGTATCCTCTTTTGTGGCAAGATGCTATGCCACAGTAGGGTTCAGGACCTAGAGAGCCCTTATTGGCTCCCTCTTTCCCCAACATGTCAACCTTTTTGTTGCCTTATGCCCTGAATCCCCCAGGGCAGATGCCAGAATTTATTATTATTGTGATTATTTACTATTAATCCATTTATGTTTAATAGTCTAATTGACCAATTTCCTTATTTCAATTAATTATTCTTTTTATCTAAGATCTTGGTTGAGATGAAAAAGTTAGTGTCACAAGCAAGATACGAACCCATGACCTTCTGCTCAATACGCCACTACTCTAACCACTTGATCTATCATGACTTCGATCTAGTCGGTCACCAACTCCCCATCTCAACCTACAACCTTTCGCATTTTACCTCTTTTTGCCATTTTTCAAAAGTCGTGTAATTAAGATTTGATTCTCAGCGTTTTATGAAAATGGCCAGGGCATGATGTTATTGAAGTGATTACTTCTTTACTTATTATATTAATCCACTTATGTTTATGGTCTAATTGACCATATTAATTATGTCAATTAATTATTCTTTTTATGTATGGTCTTGGTCGAGCTGATCCCACTCATGACACTAACTTTTTCAGCTCGACCAAGACCTTACATAAAAAGAATAATTAATTTAAATAATCAATATGGTCAATTAGGACACTAAACATAAACGGATTTATAAAAATAAAGATCTACAAGTTCCACACCTTCCTTAACCATACATGAGCTTTGTCCCAAAAGTGTCCAGCCTATGCTTGATCGATGAGGATGACCCTTCTTCTACGAGTCAAGTCTTCCAATGGCCACCTACTGACAATGCTCTTGATTTCCTTATATATTGATGTCATTTAATTAATAATAGTTATTACGTACTGTGTAACTTTATAGGATTTTGACTCCTTGTACATCTATATTTATGGAAGATAATGATAAAAACTTTTTTTTTTGAATGGTCATTTTTATGAATTTTATTTATTTCCCCTCCATCAAAAAGAGAATTTCGTTCGTCGTGTTGTGGCAACCCTGATTTCGCCTTTTTTGCCATATTTTCAAGATTTTATCAAGATTTTATCAAGTAAACGTTTGATTTGTGGTAACATAAAAAATAAATTGAAAAAAATTGATTTTATTACTTGGAAAAATTATTTTTGTAGCGTTTTGTAAACTTTTGTTTGTAGAAAGATTGTTTGTAAGGAGAAGGTATCGATCCGAGGCAATGCGATTCGCCAGGCTTTGGCGAAGGGCTTAAAAGTTAAAACCTCTATTTAAAAAATATATATATAGATATATATAAAACACGTTTTTTCAATTTAATACTTTATTTAAAAATAGCCGCTCGTCGTTTCATCGTGCAGATCCAAAACTACAAGGGGAAAAATCGTCTTTCGGAACAATTGGATTTATTCCGGTAAGTTGAAACGCGTTCATGTTCGAATTGGAATTTGCTCCCCGCTGTCCCATAGTACGAAACTTGTTCCGGCTCGAGTACGTCTTGGTCGTCTCGTTTTGCCGATTTGACCGACCTTTTCACCCGAGACGGTCACGAAAAAGACGGTGTTCCGTCTCGACGCGTCCCGTTCTTGAGACGGACTGCTGGACTAACCAGCTATGGAAATATTACTGGCCGTCGTGTCAGTTATCTCGTCGCTCTGTCTCGTCTTGCTTCTGGTCGGTTTCGGTAAGTCTGGAGGCGTTTCTTCACATCCGAGGGCTTTTACGATTTTGGAAAATCGGGGAAATACCCTTTTTTTAAAAAGTGTAAAATTATAAAACCATTTCCAGGGCGACCTCGTATAAAACATGAAAATTTCACGCATGGCCTTCCATGAAGTTTTAAACCACCACCATATAATCGATTATACTTGTTTCTTTTCCTGTTTTACAAATGAAAATTTTTATTCTGTTAAAAACGTTGTGATCAGACCCATTAGAGTACCCAGTACCAGTTTCACCAGGTACTCAAACCTAATTCATAACCTCACACCAAACCCCTCTGTCATCGTTGCCGAAAATTGCTGCCCAACTTCGTCTGTGTTTTATGACAAATAAGCCCGGTTTATCAATTAAAAACCGTTTCACTCAGATAAAAAGGCCAAAAAGTTCAGATTGCACCATTTGACCCAGTAAGAGTTTCTTCTTGCTGAATTCAAATCTATCTCCTACAATAGTTATTTTATTTGTATTTACTATTAGGTGGGAAAGGTGTTTGATTTTGTTTCTTAAACTTTTGAGGTTTTGGCTTTGAGGTACTTCGGATGAAACCCACTGGAGGTTGTGTTGATTTTGGGCAGCCTAGGTTGTACTAGGACTTCACTTGTGAGAAGGGAGGAAGGCTTTAGTCTACTTTGAAAGTTTTAATTCACGCACTATATAATTGATAATATTTGTTTGGATTTGACCGGAGTACCAAAGTGCCACATTCATTGGGTATATATATATACAGGGTGAATTGCTACTCGTGCTACAAACTTCTCCAGTAGATTCTTCACCCTAAAATGAACAAAAAAGTTCATATTGTCCATGGTCCGATTCTCAACCATTTCAGAGTAATTTCGCTTTTTATCGATTTTGAAAGATATCACGTCCTGGCGTCGGAAAATCGTGATATCTTTTAATCTAAACATTTCTCTGAAAATCTAATAGCACCGTTGAAATTC